TGTGCATTAGATTGGACACGCCCATATTTTGGAATGCTTGTAATTGATTATACAACCACTGAAATTAAGGTCAAACAACCAATTTCAAACGCTTTGGATCAAATTGGTGATTACGTTTTAAATGGTTGAATATCCGCAAGGTGGCAAAAAAATTTCTATCATGAGTGGAATCATTTCTCGCATTGCTGCTTTTGCTTACATTCACAACATATCTCAAACCCCACTCCCTGTCTTTCAAGTAGATGCTGCTATTAATTTCGGAAATAGTGGTGGCCTTGTATTCATAGGAAAATATGTGGCCGGTTTAGCATTTCAGTGTTTAGATGATGTAGAAATATAGGTTATGTTATCCCTTCTCCGTTATTGCTATTTTTCTTAAGTAACATGAGAAACAACAAGAAATATGTAGTTTTTGTTCTCTTAGTGTGTCTACACAACAACGGAGAACATAATGATGAGAAATTACTTTAGAATGAAAGAAAAAATGAAGGAAGTTATTGTAACAATAACATATAAGTATAAGTACGGCCTCTCAGGATATTTAAGAATAATGATGTGCTTCTTACCGTAGATGGCAATCTAATCCAAGATGAATGAGAAGTATCATCTTGGATGGCAATCTAATCCAAGACAAAACCTCGAAGTATGTGTTTGACGTATTGAGAAAAAGAAAAGTCTTCAAATTCACATTGGAATTGGGCAATATTGATAAGTCACAAGATGGATCGGATTATCCCCCTCAAAAGTTATTACATACTTCGAGGTTTTGTCTTTACAAACACATAAGATGGATGAATGAAGATTCTCAGGTGTTGGAAGATGATTTAAACGTGGGTTATACATCTTTCAAAGATTTTGTGGTAATAAAAGTCATTGATAAGACGTGTATAGTGTGAAAGACGTGTGAAGTGTGAAAGACGTGTGGAAGGAGATAGAGAATGCAAAAGAAAGCTCCACCACCAAAACTGTTAAGGTAGTTCGCTAACAGAAGACGCTTCAAATATAAGCTTGATTGGTCGCATTATAGCGATTAAATATTACAATTTGATAAAATTGTGTAATAGAATTTTGTTTGAAATGATTTCATAAAATATAATGTATTGAAAAATAAGTTAAAATATATACGAATTATTAGTAGAGATATATTATAATTATTCACTTTTGAAATCATAATTGTATAATGTTCTAAGCAACTAGACTTTTAATTACGATAAAAAATTAAATAATCATATACGAATCAATGTAGGGGTCAAAATCCACCTCTTAGAAATCAATGTCCAAAATTGGTTAAGTATGAAAATTCTTAACAGGTTTTCCCGCGGTGACCCTTTAACGGAGTTTTCCCGCGAAAAGCTTTAATAAAGAAGTTAAGAAAACCCGTGGAAAACTTTATCTTTCAAGTTGACCCGACCCGCGGCTAACCATGAACCCGGCCCGCAATATTGTAATGCCCCGACCGCCGTCGAGCTATCGGTATGCAGGTAAACTCACATCCCCTGGAGAGATCTCACATCTCTTAAACCGTGAGGAAACAGAGATTTCTAGGTTAAGTTGCGAACGAAACGATGAGCAAAGAGAACCGTTTGTTATTGCTGTATATGCTTTGTGAGTAAAGTTGCGGATACCCTTTTACAAGGATTTGTACATTGATATATATAGCTCCCTAAGTCGGCTAGCCATATTTCCTAAAGATAATGTTAACTTTCCTAAGTCTTTGCGAATTTTCTTTTCTTTACGTTGGTTGTGTCAAAGTGGGCTTCGCAATTGGACCGGACTTTAGCGCAGAGAACCTTCTGGCCTTTGTCGTTACTCTGACAGATCTTTGGTGGCCAGTGTCGTCGTTGGCACTGTGTCATCGCTGGCAGTGTGACATCGCTGGCACTACACGTCGCTGGCACTGCTCTTCGCTGGCACTGCACTTCGCTGGCACTGCTCTTGGCTGGCACCGCACTTCACTGACACTACTCATCGCTGGCAGTGTGACATCGCTGGCAGTGTGACCTCGCGGGCAGTGTGTCATCGCTGGCAGTGTGACATCGCTGGCAGTGTGAGCTTGCTAGCACGGCGCCGGTTCTGCACTCCTGACTTTTGCTGCGAGTAGAGAGGACTCAGAAGGCTCCTTTCTTGGATGGAGAAGACTTAG